AGAGCCTGTTTCTCAGCCATCAGGAACAGGTGACAAAGTGCTCTGGAAAGGGAAGCTCAGACCCAAGCCAAGGCACAGTTCAGCTTTAGAGAGAGACTGCTTCAGTCCAAGGACCTGGAAAATGCTTTCCCTTTTCTGCCAGCTCCAGACTGCCAGTGCTTCCCAGGATGAGATGCTGTAGGGAGCCCATTACCATGCCCAAGCAGCACTTACCCTGGCATTGTAAGCATCCAGCTGTGCATCTAGTTCTTCTGCAGAGAGCTGCTGTTTGGAAGTTCTTCCAGCTCCTCTGCCTCTCCCTCTGTTCCCGCCACGAGTCCCTCGCCTGTTGCCTCCACCTCCAAATCCCCCCGAGACCCCACGGTTTCTGGTCATGCCACCTCTGTTTACACTGTAAGTTTTAAAACAACTGTTTTAGTGCCTTCAGCGAAGCCAAACAGGACCCACGTTCCCCAGCAGGGAGGGTTCCTGCACATTCCCCTGCACTGCTTGGGCAGGGGCTCCCCCACCTCTGTGCTGGTCTCCGCTGCGTGTCGATCTGTGACGTCACCAGCTGGATGTTCATGGGGCGCCCTGGAGGAGGGAGAGCGTCTGTGAGCCCACGGGGCACGCGCGGGGCAGGAGCCGCACGGACGGGCGGGAGGGACGAGGGCGTGGGAGAAACGGGCACGAGGGGAGGGACACGGATGTGCTCTGCTCCAGCCACAGAAAAAGTCGTGGGGCTGGGCCACGCAGCCTCACCGTCCAAGGGGACCCCATTGTACTGCTTCATGGCCTTCAGCGCATCAGCCTTCCTCTCAAAATGCACATCTGCCGTTCCTAGGCTGCGGCCAGATCTGTCATAGTGCACAGCTGCCTTCTTCAAGGTCCCAAACTCCGCAAAGAGCTCCTGAGAATGACAGGGAAAGGAGCAGCCCATCCATCAATGCTGCAAGCACTGCAGCGCCCCACACAGACACGCTCAGCACCAGAGCTTGTCCCACCACCTCAGACAGCCTGGAAAAACACCCAGTGGCACAGGGGAGCACAGCCCATCAGCAAGATTTCAGGGAGCTGTCACAAGTGGCAAAACCAGGCAGGACTCCACGCTCACGTCCTGTAGGAGGCACATTACAGCCAGTGAAGCAGATTCAAGGGATGCTGACCTGTTTTTTTTTCCCAGGGGAACTGGGGGTCCTTGTTGAAGGTGAGTCAAAGTGGCAACAACTGAAAATACCGCAGACCCCAGACACCTTTCTCACAGAGGAGAATGACCATGTGATTGCAGGGATCCACGAGACTATGACACTTTTACTGTGCTAGACTTATGCCCATTAGAAACATATCCTAAAAATGGAGACCAACAAAGTCCTCTGCTGAGGTGTGTCCTTTGCTGCCACAAAAGTTGGAAATAAAGAGGCAGCAACAGAGCCACCAATTTTGTTTCTCAGGCACTATATCTGGGAAGCCAACAAGGTTACTGCACTGCCTGTGTCAACCTGCTCCCAAGTCACAACAGGGCTCTCAGCAGGGCTGCTGGAGAACTACAAAGGACACCTGGCAGATGCTTTCTGGACAGAATGTGGCAGGCAAGGCTGTCTCAGCTCTGCCCAGAGCCCAGGATCTGCTGCTTCTGCCTCAGAGGACACAAAGAGCAATGCTGCACAGCTCATTTGTGATCAGAGTACCTTCGGCCTCTCTTGGCACATAAAGAGGCATCAGCACAGGAACAAAACCAATCCCACATCTGAGGCAATGCTAAATTATGGGACATGGGGCCAAAGCCGTTGATTCAGCCCCCAGTGGGGGCTTGTGCAGCAGCAGGAAGGTGAGTCCTGGCTGCACACAAGGCACAGGGGCTGAGTTTTACACACTGCCACCTCACTGCAACAAACAAAAACTTATTTAAACTCAGTCTGAACTTATACGAGGAAAAGAGGTGGAGTGCAGCACACTACCCAGTGAGCAGGTGACTTGACAGAGTTGCTTTCCAGTTCTCCACACGCAGCCAGATGGGTGTGTGGAGAGGCTGAATGAATGAACTGATGAGGAAAGTCTAACACCACTGTTTTGGTTTTCCCTGGTGAGGGCACAAGAGCCAGAGGCCAGGGTGATGGCAACACTCTGTGGTGCAGGAGCCTCCACCAGGGATACATGGCCCTCAATTCCTGCACAGCTCACAGCCCACTCATGACCCTGTGACACCCCTCAGCCTCCAGCCCTGAGGCAGATGCCCCAAGCACCCGATTGCAGGCACTGTGGGCTCTGACCAGCCCAAACGGGGCATGGACACGACAGGTGGGGGACAGGACACCAAAGCACCAGCACAGGAGAGCTGTTCCTATGACAAATAACTACCTGGTTACACTGATAGGTGCATCCTTGGGAACCCCTGACACCCACCAGAGTGTGGTCTGACAAAGCAGCAGGCCCCACAGCACCATTACAGACAGCTACAGCTGTGCAGAGCAGGAGCTCAGAGTTCACAGTGCATCCTCCAACCACAGCGTGATCCAGCACAGTCACAGCATCGCTCCCTGTACACCGGGAAGTCACTTACAAAACACCTATAAACCGAATTTTCCAGCCCCCTGGAGACCACCACGATCGCCGCAAAGTAGGCATACCTAGTACCAACCCCATCAGCAGGGATTCACCCGGGAATCCTCGGCCCCGAGCACAAGCCGGAGCAGGGCCGGCGGGGTTCCCGCGGGTACCCGACCTGGGCCAGCGAATGAGGCCCCGCTCGCCGCGGCGCCTCCCCGAGCCGCACCTGGATGTCCGCATCCGAAACGCCGAAGTCCAGGTTGGAGACGAGCAGTTTTCCGCCGGTCTCCACGCCGGCCCCCGCCCCGAAGCCGCTGTCGAACAGGTCGTGCTGCCACTTCTCGGGGAGCTGCTTCGGCTGCAATGAGACCGGGACCTCGCTGACCGGCGCCAAGGCGCCGCAGCCGCGCCGGGAGTGGACAAAGGGCCGCCCGCGTCCGCGCCCCCGCCCCGCGCGGACCCTCCACCCCAGCCCGCCGCACCGCCGCGGCCTAAGCTCCGCCTGCCCGATCCGTACCCGGCTGTAGGGCGCGGGCCGGTTCCTGCCGCCGCCCCGGGCCATCACCGGCCGGTTCCGCACGGGGCCGCCGCCCGCGCGCCCGCCGCCAACGCCGCCCCGGCCGGGCCCGCCCCCGCGTGCGGTGCCGCCGCGGCCCCGGCCGCCCCGGCCGCCCCGGTTGGCCCCACGCTGGCTCCGGTTGAGCTTAATGATGTCGTCCAGGGACATGTCCATCTTGTCGGCCATGATGGCGGCACCGCTCCCTCCCGCACTTCCGGCCGCGCTGCGCCCGCGCCGGAAGCGGAAGAGGCGGGGCTGAGGCGCGGCGGGCGCGCGAAGCGCCGCGGGGCGGGAGCGCTTCCGGCGGGGCCGCGGCGGGACCGGCCGGGAGATGCGGGTGCGCGTGCGGAGCTGGCACGGAGTCGCGTCCTGGCTGTGGGTGGCGAACGACGAGAACTGCGGCATCTGCCGGATGGCCTTCAACGGCTGCTGCCCCGACTGTGAGTGCGGGAGCGGCACCGACACCGGGCACTGCGCACGGGGCGGGGCTGACGGTGTGTTCGTGCCGCAGGTAAGGTTCCCGGCGACGACTGCCCGCTGGTGTGGGGGCAGTGTTCGCACTGCTTCCACATGCACTGCATCCTCAAGTGGCTGAACTCGCAGCAGGTGCAGCAGCACTGCCCCATGTGCCGCCAGGAGTGGAAGTTCCGCGAGTGAGGACGGCCCCGGGAACGGGGTCGGGCCGTGGCCCACCCCCGGCCGGCTCGACCCCACTCAATAAATGTGCGACGCCAGTTGCGTGTCCGTGTCTGTGTCTGGTGCCCCGCGCTCGGGTCGGTGCACGGAGCGGGGGGGGCGAGAAGTGACCCCGCCGGGCGCCCCGCGGGCTCCGCCGCCCCGGCAGCCGAGCCACGCCTCTGAGGCGGGGGTGGGCGTACCGGGACCTGCGGCTGTAAAGGCGGCGGCCCCAGGTGCTACGGCCGCGCCGGCACCGTGCGCGCTGCTCGGTGGCCAGGGCTGGGGCTGGTGCTGCTCGTCCTGTGCCGCCCCGCCACTGCTCGGTGGGCAGGACCTGGGGCTGCTCTCCCACCTGTGCCGCTCGCCCAACACCAGCCTCTCCGGCACCGACGGCTCTGCCGAACCCGATCTCGCTGTGCTGCTGCCCAGCTCCGCCCTCTCGCCTCGGGGCTCCGCACCGCGGTGAGTACCGAGGCCGCCCGAGGGGCTCGGGCTGGGACGCTGGGCACGGTTCCGGAGCCCCCTCAACCCCGCGGGGCTCTGCAGCAGCCGGAGCAGGGTACCCACCGTGGCAGGCAGGCTAGCGCTCGCCCTCTGTGCTAGCCAGTGTTGCGCTGGCCCAGGCCCGCAGCCTGTGACGGTGCCTCCCGCACGTGCTGTGTGTGACAGATGTGGCCGTGGCGCTGCCAGGATGTCTTGGGTGTAAGGCAGGCTCGCCTCTGTCCTTGGACCCCACGGAGTGCATGGCTGCCTGAGCCTGAGCCGGTGCTGGTGGCTATGGTGTGACAATAAACATGCTCGGGATGGCTTTGTCTTCTCTGCGCTTGCTAGAGATGGGGAATCCACCCAGATCTGGGGAGCTCTGGGCTGCTGAGCCCTCCCCTCCCTCCTGTGGTGCTGAGGATGGCCCAAGGCCTGTAGGAGCTGCAGGGCACAATGCAGGGACAGCAGGGGTCAAGGGGCTGTGCAGGAGAGCAGGTGACTGAAGTCACAGGGTTCCTGTCCCTGTCTGCCCTCAGACAGAAAGACCCTGCTGCCCTTTGTGCTGCAGGAGACCTGGCACAGCCTCTGCCCAGCCCTGTTTGTTCAGGACAAACTCCTGCAGTGCCCATGGGAGGGAGCCATGAGCTGCATGGATGAGGTGCAAGTGTGGCGCTCTCTCTCAGTACCAGTACTGGGGTTTCAGCATGTGCTCCCTATGCCCCCTTCCTGGGTTCAAGCCCCCAAAAGACCAATGCACAACTCTTCAACATTTTATTAATGATCAGCAACAAAAGTTTACAAGAAAGAGGACACCAGACACAGCCTGGAAGGACCATCTGGCACAGTGCAGTGAGCTGCTAAGGATACCCACCATAGTATCCTGGAATGTAAGAGGCAAAAGGGGCTTACAGCTCAGGACCATTCTCCCAGCCCTGCACCTCCCCTTAGAGGCAGGCAAGCTGAGTGTCAGCAATCAGAAAACAACCCTAAAACTTCACCTGGCCAGGCCCTGCCCTCAGGTAATCCATCAGGCACAAGGTGGGCTCTGACAGCAGAAGCAAGTGGGGCTCTAAGCACAGTCCACACAAGGCATCAGGTCCTGCTGCCTTGCAAATGGGAGAGCCTTTGGGAAAAGGCCCCAGGGTCCCTATGCTTTGTGTGGAGAAATGCCTGGACCCAGCATCAGCTGCCACCTGCAGCCTGTCACTGGGGCAGCAAAGGATTTGCCTTTATCCAGCTCAACCCAGAGTAGCTCTGGGTTGCAGTGTGCAGGGATGGGAGCTGAGAAGAGGCAGTACAGTAAACCCCAGAGCCCAGCACCACCTCTGGCAGCCAGCCCCTTGTTTCTGAGGAAAAGCTACAGGAGGAACAACGTGAGCCCTGTCTTGTCCCCGAGGCTGCTCTCACTGACTGTCCAGCCACCCACACCACTGCCCAGGAGGCTGCTCTGCAATGCAGAGTCTGGAAGGGCAAGGGGGCATGGGCAGCTCCTCCATTCCCTCCTACTAAGAGCCAGAAATGGCAGAAGGTAAAAGCACATCAACATGTTAAAACATTAGTTATAATTAAAACCTTTTTGTCAAATCTCCTCCTGGGAAAAGGGACAGGGACTGATTAACGGAGATAAAACTAGGCAACGGAATCCCAACTCGTTATGTCTGCATAATTAGTGCAGGAGGAGCTAGGACAGCAAAAGGTAGGACAGCACATCCTGCGTGCCAGCAGTGCTGCCCCCCTTCAGGGGGCTCTTCCTGAAGAGCAGTTGCTCTACCAGAGGGTGAAGCTGCAGCACTCTGTGGCTCACACATCCCCACTCTGCAGCCTAGTGTTTCTCCTCCTCCAACCTTCTCATGGCCTCCAGCACAGCCAGCTCTTTTGCTTCTTTCTTCTGGTTGCGAGCTTCAAACTCCAGCCTGCAAATATCACACAATGCTGTAAGATTCTCATTCATCCAATATTGCTTGCAGGCAAAAGCACCTAGAGCGGGAGAGCATTGCCTTCTATGTGGTTCAATTCTGAGAGCACTTCAAAAACCCCCCAGGACTCCCAGAGCCTCTCCCAGAGCTTCCCATGGCTGTTGCCAGTACTCTGCAGTTCTGGGTTACACACGATTTCTTCCTCCCTCTGTGAAAGAAGCTGCTATTCCATTCTTGGGCTGTCCTGGGTGTTTTAACACCAAAATCAAATGTATCACTGATGTGAGCCAAGGTGCTGAAAGTGAAGGACTCAGACCTAAAAGACCAGAGCTCTGAAAGAAGCATGCTCTTTCCACAGGATACAGCAAAGAAAATTTATCATTAAAGGAGAAAAAACAATAAATGTGCTGTGCAGTTCTGACACAGCAGAGTTCAGCTGTTCCTTTCCCTGTACTGATTGGTACAATCACATTTACAGGCTGCCCAAGCCATGAAAGAGGAAGCCAAGTTTGCTGACCCTATGCCTTCAGGTAACACCTTCTCTCTATTTGGTCCCATTCATCAGTCCCCAGACAGTCTGTATGGAACAGTATGTGACAGAACTGGGAGACAAAGAAAACCAACCTGTTCTTGATGATTCTTTGCACAATTAGATCAGTGGTGAGATTGCTGCCACTGTCCACCAGCTGGAAAATGCCGCGTTGCTTCGGTTCCTGCAAAGAGACAAAGCACTGGGCTGTGAAAACATGTGGAATCTGGGTGTGCAGCTCAGCAGTGACAGCTGAGCCAAGCCAAGGCAGGATGACAGGCAGGATGCACAGTGATCTCCTCAGAGACAGAATAAACACTTGCTGAAAGCAAAGCTCCACATACATGGCAGCTGCCCAGGACAGAGAGCAAAGCACACAGGATTTCTCACTCTGCCATGAAGGCATCAGAAACAGGCAGAGCAAAACAGTGCTTGGAAGAGTGGAGCTGTTGGGAATGACTGCTCCAAGTAACTGCCCTCAGGGGTGAATGAAAAGCTGCATTGCTTGCCAAAGCCTCCGCTGCAATACCCCTTCTCAGGGCCAGGCTCTGTCTAGTAAATGCTGACAAAGCAACTGGCACTTTACCTCATATGGATCAGAACCATCCTTGTCTGGCACCACCTCAGTCATCCCATGACAAACAAGTGTTACCTGAAGAAGGACACAAAAGTCACTGACAAGATCCAAAAGATGACTGGGACATTTCCTGCCACTGCTTCCACCGAGCACAGCCTGGAGACCAGCAAAGCCACCCTCCTGCATCAGCCTGGCAGTCCCAGTCTGAGCAGGACACTCCCTCCTTGCACCCTTGTGTTGTCCTGCACCACTTTAGCTCCCCACACACATCACCCACCAGCATCTTCATATCCATCTGTGTGCAAGGACTCACCCTGAAGTGATCCAACAGATCAGCAGTGACGGCATAGGGAGCTCCAATCACCACCTCTGAGACATACTAAAAAAGGAACCAGGAAGAGTCCAGATTTGAAAAAAAAAAACATCAAACAAAAACCCAAAACCCAATCCCAAGACAGAAACCAGCTGCTTAAGGAGACCTAAGCAGGTCACCTGGCTATAGAGTCAGCAGTTCAAATAAGGGAACAGAGAAGTGGGTTCAGCAGCAACTGCTTGTCACACAACAGCTTTTTGTTCCTCTACAGAATGTCCTTTATGTGCCTGTAGAGCAAATCCAAAAGTTAATTGCTCCAGGCACACATTTCTGGGGCTCCCCACGATTTTGTCCCAGGCATTTTCTCCCCTGCTGCAGGGAGCAGATTTTCCTAGTGGCACATGTCTGACTACACAGAGCCACACAGTTCCCTATGTAGCATCTAGCCCTGTCACTGCCGGCAGAACAGCTGGATGGGTCACCAGCTTGGAAGAGCCAGGATGGCACAAGAGCCTAGCAGAGCCTCCCAAGAGTTTATCAGCACCTCTGGCAGCTTCAAGTGATTCATCTTGTCTGTCTTCTCAGGGCACACCAAGGAACTCATGCAAGATCACTGAGCACAAGTGAACACCCCCAGCTCTGGGCAGTTCTGGAAGCGTGCAGAGACACCCACTCACCCTGCAGGCCAGGACACTGAGAGTTCGCTCATGGATGTTCATGATGGGATAGTTCTTCCCTTTGTAGCGATTCACCTCCTACGGCAAAGCACCAGGCACAGTCAGAAGAGAGACAGAGCAACGCCTTTCCCTCTTCCTCTCTCCCAAAATGAAATTCCTGTATTGGTCAGTATATCCCTGTCCTGTCTCTTGGAGCACAGCCTGCCTGGCTCAGAGAACAGGCCCAAGCTGCTCTGCCTTTGGACAGGTTCTACACGGACCTGATCAAAATGCAGCCCAGCAATGATGTAGGGTTTCTCTGCCAACTGGTGAACCTTCTTCAGGAAATCCACGTGACCAACATCTGCAGATCTGCTTAAGGAATTGAAGCTCACATGGAAAACAGACAATGGAAGACAGAAATAGAGTCACTCAAAAATTACAGTGGGACACAGGAACACCTAGGATTTTATTCTTGCACTACGTATTGCCTGTTTCCAAGAACATCTGCTGCCTCCCTCCTCAGGTTCCACTGGTTCTGAGCAAAAAACAGAAGCTTTTTCAGCTCCACCTTATATGGACTCAGCTTTGCCTCTATCCACAATTTCTACTTGTTCCAGATGTTCTGGCACAAAGCCTCAAAGCCTGCCCCAGGAACAGCGTGTCAGCTCCAGATGCTACGGCAGCCAGTCTTCACCACAATCATTAGAGTGCTGAGAATATCCATCTATCTTCCTGAAATCCAACAGCCACAGATTGCTCCACAGAGCAGCTATAGCTTCTTTCTCAGCATCCTATGACTAAGAAACTGCCAGGAAGAACTCACTCCTGACTCCTCCCTCATGTACAGCTACAGAAAAGGAAAAAATATGAGGCAAATATCCAGTCTGGTGCATCCCAACATGAGAACATCAGACAAAGACCACTGGTGCAACCAATGATAGTCAAGGATATGGAACAAGTCAAAGGCTCCAGCCACGTATATGATGGTGTCTCCTGGCTGCGGCTCCTTCCCCGATGCAAACTGGATGATCTTCTGGGATGTCTGCAGGAACTGTGAGACGCCAGTCCAGGGACTGTGACCTTTGGGCCCCTGTGGAAACATATGCCAGACACAGCTTCTTTTCAGGCTCTGTGAGGGGGTTTGGACAACACAGAGCACACTGCTGGGCAAACTGCTCATCTGAATTTGCTGGCAACTGTAACAACTCCCAGCACCTTGGACTTTCTACATTCACGGCATCAAGTGTTTAGATAATTTCACAAATGCCCTTTGTGCCCTGTCTAAATCATCACCTCAGCAGACAGCTCAGGAGATGCCAAGAGGAAAGCTCAGGAAGGAGGAAGACAACAGGGCAGATTTGAATTTCCATGAGAAGCAAGACGTGCTCGGGAGACAACACACGATCAACCTACACTCTGCCAAGCCTCAGGGCACCTGTCTGGCCCCTCATCTCTGAGGACAGAGCTTGGCCCCACCACGTGGTAGTTGTACAAACAGCCACCAAGTCACCTGCTCTGCCACCCAAAGCTGCTCCACGGGACTTGGCAGGACACAGACGCTGCAGCCGAGGCCAGAGCAGGCCCTGCAAAGGGCAGCACGCAGACAGCTCAGCTGTCAGGGTCACGTAGGGTACCCAGTGCCCTGATCCATTCTACCCAGATCTAAGCCCCAGAAATCAGGCATGCTAGAGCAATATGCCCCAAAACACCTACTCAAAACCCCCAAAACAGTGGGGAACTAAGATGATTCAGACAGGTCAGCAAATGCCCTGCAAGTAAAAAAGACTTGCTCAAGCTGCTGGTGCAGCTCATTAAGCAGGGACAATCCAGCTGCCAAAGAAATAAACAGGGCTGGCTCTTTAGGAGCAGTGCGAGCCACAGGCTGGACCTGGCAGCTACAACACCTAGAGGGCTGCGCTACCCTCGAGCTCTGCACCAGTGTGGCCACACACCTGCTGTGTCCACACCTCCCAAACCTAATACAACACCTTCAAAACAACACAAGCATTGAGAGTAGCATCCACAGAGGCTATCCTCAGGCTGGAACCACAGGCACTTGGGTCCTAAGGGAAGTGTCAGGAAGGAATTTACAAGCAAGGAAGGAGCCCAGCACAGGCTCAGTGGGGACAGCAGCCCTTGGTCCCACTGAAGGTGGGACCACTGAGGCTCATGCACTACCCTGTGCCACACCTGCCCAACACACCCACTGCAGGCACTGCCATTTGGGGACAGCAGACGTTCACTGAGACATTGCTGCTACATGTGGGAGGACAAACAAGCCTGCAATAGGCCAGAAAGCACACTGGGAATCCTTCTCAGGCAGGACAACAACCAGACGTCCGAGACCAGAACTCACATTACCTTCCCAAAGTTGTCAGTGTGCTTCCGATAGTCTAGGTCCTCATCCTGAAGGAAGATAAAGAGTCAAAATGTTTAAGCACTTGCACAGCTCATCCAACCAAGATATGCTTGTGTGTGGGAAGTGCTGGGAAGGCCAAGTTCAAAACGCACATCAGGGATCCAGGGCACTGAATGCTGACAAACTGGTTAATACCTAAACCAGAGTCCTGTCCCAGCATGAGTCAGAGGAAATGTGTCCTTATCTGATCCCAGCCTGGCACCACCAGAAAAGGTGGTTCTTGCCCAACTTGCAGCCCCAAGAGTGCTGCACAGCTGCATCCTCCCTCAGCCCAGCAAGCCCCTGACAGGACAGCATCCCTTTTCCTGCCAAAGACCCTCACAAGAGGCAGGCTTAGGTATCTGCAGCAGCCAGCAGCACCAGGCAGATATCAGTGTCAACTCGTGCTACAGCTAAGCCAATTTAACAGCTCAGCACACCAAAACATCTGTCCCTCAATTTGCCTGTGGGTCACTTGTTTCTGCAGCTATCCAGGTGATTCTATTCACAGAGTCCTTCATTACTCAGTAAATTCAACTCATTACCTGACAAAAAAATACTGACTTTACTTTTCCCTGGTTAGGTTAGCTCCCAGCCAGAGAATGAGCTGAGGAGACTCAAGAAACTAGATCAGACTAGAGACAACAGAAGGCAGAAGCATGAAGCTCAGTGGGAAGGGAGAGGAGTTTCTAACTCTGGCAGCACCTGGCTGACAGATCAATGTGCCTGCACTGTGTTGCTTCACCCTGGGAAAAGTCATGGGCTCGCCTGCAGTTCCTCTAACATTCCTGAGGCCCTCACTGATCATGAGGCATTAAAGTCTGTCCCATCACGCTGTGATCTCAGACACACTGAAGCAAACACCAGCAGGCTGTTTTGCTGCCACTGCCCGTTTTCCACACACCTGGGAGCCAGCCCAGGAGCTCTACTGCTCCGCTCTACTCTGTTTGGGGCAGCAGAGGGGAAGAGTTGTACATGTCCTGTACTCCACCTCCCACCCAAAGCCCTCTGACTCACTATGTTGCTGTGGTGAGCCTTAGTCATGAGCAGCATGCGGCCAACAAGGTCAGTGGTGGACACGCCTTGAGTGCGTTTGCATTCCCTGCGGGAGACAAGCACAGGATGAAGCAGAAGCCACAGGAGCGAAGGCTCTGTCTTCCCACCACTGCCACAGGGACACCCGTGACACCTAACCTTGTGACCAGGGGCTGTCCTAAGGAAGCCTTCCTTCACAAGAGCATTTATTTGCTGAGCCTCTGCATTATCCTCACGTCATAGCACCTGCTCATGTGAACGCTTCCCTCAGACTTCCCAACAAAGCCAGCTCTTGGTGAGGCTTTAAAACCAGAACCAGCATCTGCCAGGAACCAGACAGCCCCACTGGCAGGAATGTCTGCCCCACTTCCCTGAAGCCAAAACGCTGGGAGCAACTGAAGCTCTAACACATACAGCGAAATTCAGGTGTGACCTGAAGACTGGTATGTTTCATCTGACTTCCCTTCAAGGCACAAAGTCCTAGAAAACAAGATAAACAGGTAAGCAGCAAGAGGTTACCTGTATCGCCCTGCTGTCTTTACTTCCTCATAGGTGTCCTTGCCATCGATAGTTAAGGTGATGTCATCTGCAGAGAAAGAAAAGCCTCAGAACTGTACCCAAGCTCTCCTGCACAAAAGCAGCAGATGTACAGGTCCCACACACCTAGAGCCAGACTGGAACTCTGCAATCTAAATCCATGTATATACACAGAGGACATGTCCTGTGCCCCATAAAAATGTCAGGGGTTTTTAAGACTATTGTGTCTGTGGAGACAAGGATATTCCCAGACACCAAACACCATTACCCATCCTGTGTGCTGCTGGGTGCCCTGCAGCAGCAGGCACAGCTGATTATTGTCTGAATGACAGTAAACAAGCACTATCTGTATCAATGTTAAAAAATAACCTTTTAGCTCTTCTGGGGCTGGTTTTAACCCTTGGGTCACATTACAAGTTTTCAGTCAATGAAACAGTTCATCCAATGGAAAGTTCTTCCTCTCAATGACTGGACTTCCACAGTGACATCCAGCAACCCTTCTACAGAGGCCATTTCAGTTCATCTCTGGAACATGGCTCCTAACTCCCTCTGTAGAAACACTTCTCACATACTTTTGGTGATGGTACAAAGCCTTCACAAGCAAAAGCTAAGCTAGTTTCCCTTTGCCAAAACAGTCAGAGGGCAGCCCATGAGGGTGCCTACACAGTGGGGGGTCTCAGTCACGCCCAGTTCTCCTAAAACCGCACACCTTCCCTCAGAGCACAGGCACAGGAGGGCACACACTGCCAGCACAACTTGGCATGCCAGGAGAGGCACAAACAGCAGGGCTGCTGTCACCTTCTCAGGTAAGCTCAGCTATTTCCAAAATCAGCTTTTGCACAAACACAACCTGGCAAAACTGCCGGTGAAGGCATATTGCTCAGGAGAGGCACGGGATGATTCAGACAAGTCAGCAAGTGGCAGAGGGGACGAATGCAAGCAGCTGGAGCAGGGGCCACAAGTACTCCTCTGCTGTCATGACCCCTTACCGAGCCCTGTAAGGGATCACGTACACCGAACACATTCAGGGCAGGCAATGAAGTTAACAAGGAATTTGATAACCACTCCATCCACGTGAAAAAAATAATATTTATCTTCTGAAGATTAAGGATTTATTTACATTTTGTGAAATACTTAGCTTATCAACAGCAGGTGGCTGGGATCAGATGAGAGATACACAAAATGAGTGCAAAGACTAGTCCTGGTCAAAGTAACAAAATTGCTTCAGAGGGGCAGGGAAGAAGGTCTGAGGCTTAATGAGCACTGGCAGCAGCCCAGGAAGGGACAGAGTCCCAGAGCAAGAACACTTCCTCAGAACACTGGTTCTCTTCAGCAACTGTACACCAAAAAGAGTTCACACTAAGAACTAGGTCTCCGGCCACACAGTCAGCTGAGCCACTGAACAGCTTATCCGCTGGATAAAGAGAGAAGCTTTTCAGATCTAACCTTGTCCCAGGATAAGTAGAAATAAACATGGTTGTATTTCTTCATGCTCTACTTTTCAATAGTGTTTTTCAAACTTAAGTTTTGTAAATGGCTTTTCCCTTTGCACAAATTTCTGCTGATGCTAAGGGTAACCTTGGAATAATTTTAAATTACACATTTCACCTTTGTAAGTTAAAACCAAGGGCCCTGGCCATTCTCAGAATTTTGAGCACACTGACGTGTTTCTCCAGACCACGAGACCAGAAGCAGCTGTGCTGCCCAGTACAGGTATTGAGAAGGCAGAGCTCCTCACACAGCAGGTACCCCTGAGCCCTGCAGCCCCCAGGACACTGCTGGGCTTGCAGCAGGGCACCCGGAGCGCACAGCCCCAAGGGCCCACCTTAGCACAGACACTGCCTCAAACACTACTCACCCCCATGCACACAGAAGTCACAGCTGTACTTGTCCAGGGTTTCCAATGTGGTGACATAAGGAGCTCCAGGAGCAATCTCATCCACCCACTTGATGGCCTGCACCATTTTGTACCTCTCCTCCTGTGTAAAGACAGGGGGACCCTTGTGCTTGGCGATCTCCTCTGGGAAAGAGACAAAATTCCAGTTAGAAGCATGTCCTGCAGCTACAGTGTCTCTCAGTTACTGCCTCATTCGTTTCATGAGCAGGTGAACTTCACTGCAGACTTATCCTCAGATTTGGATTAGTCCGTGGTAGCAAAGGATGCCCCAGATAGATCAGAAAATATTTTGATTCAGTTGCATTTCCTAAACTTTTAACAAGGGCCCTAAAATTCACTCAGAGGGCAAAAGGTCTCAGTGCTTCCCTGTACCATATACTTCTTCCTGAGGGGATGACCTGGCCCTCCCGGCATCCCCCTAGGATAAAATTTCCCTCTTAAACGGTAACTTCATACTATGCCTGGTTCATACTGGAAATTCTGCATTTAAAATACATCTTCACATACCAGAACTTGTTTCTGACACTTAACTTCCAAATGGCCTTGAAATTAGTTTTCTCCATAAGGTAGCTTATTTTGAAAAGTAAGTTCTGCACCTCCTACCAGCAAAAGCAGACTGATTTTCATCTGTTTCAACTGTTTTTATAGCACAGAACACAGATTAACCCTCAGAGCCTGCAAGATCTGACCCACCTAATCCTCAGTCCAAAAGTGTGACAGGGGTAACTCCACTCCCAGAGAAGGAACATCCTTCTCTTGGAAGCTACTGATCCTGGAGCAGATGCAGGATCCTGGAGCAGAAGCCTGCCCCTATCTGGAACTCTTGGTTCTCCTGGGGCTAATGCTGCTGGGCAATTTGAGGGGCTGCACGAGATGAATCCTGGAAAAGCCTCTTACCATCCGTGTGGACCCCAACGATCAGGTAATCGCCCATAGCCCGCGCTTGGCGCAGCTGGTTCGAGTGGCCATAGTGCACCATGTCATAGCTGGAAAGAGAAGGGCCGGGTCAGCCCGGGCACACCGGGACGCACTCCCCTGCAAGCTGCGGGCAATCTGCCCCAGGCTTCGGGGCTGAAGGTCTCTGTGCTGCCGGGCAGAGCTGTGCCGGTACAGCCCGGTCACCAGCGCCCGCAGCGGCTCCCTCCCACCGCAGAGAGCCGGCCCTGGTGCTGCAGGGGCCGGTCCCTCCCTGCCCCGGCCCGGCAGGTGCCGGCTGTAGCCCGGGGGATGCCCGCTGAGCGGCCAAGCCCAAGGGCGCTCCCGGCTCCGGAGCAGCTCGTGACCAGCTCCGTTTGCTCCCGCTCGCCCGGCGCCCCGAGGCAGCTCTGCGGACACCGCCGCTGTGCCGCGGGCTGGGCCCGTCCCGCCACGGTGACAGAGGAGGCGGAGGCACCAGCGTAGCCAACACGGTTTATTTCTGCGGCGCCACGACATCACCCGGCCCCGCGCCCGCCCCACTCACCATCCGTCGCACCAGACGCGCACGGGCCGGTGGCCGCCGCCGCCCGCCGCGGCCCCGCCGCCGCCCGCCGCCCCGTTGCGCAGCATGGCCGCGCTGTCACCGGCGGCGCCGCCCCGCCCCGCCCCGCGCTCAGCGGCTCTTCCTGCGCCGGGCGCCCTTGGCGCAGCCGCGGCCGAGCCACCCCCCGGGCCGCCCGACCGCCGCCTCCGCCCGCTCCCGGGGCTGCTCCTGCTCCCGGGGCTCCTCCCGCTCCCGGGGCGGCGCCACGGGCTTCCGCGAGTGCGTGCCCTCCTCCCCGGGGCGCAGCGGCTCGGCCAGCGCGAAGATGGGGTCCCGCGCCCTGCGGAAGGAAGAGAGGGCGGCGGTGGGCGCTGGAGGTGGCCCCGGGCCGGGGGTCCCACCGCACACGGCCCGGGCCGCTCACCGGTCGTAGCGCGGGATTTCCAGCCCCAGCTCCGCCATCAGCAGCCGCATCACGTCGTCGCAGCGGCCGTGCAGCTTCAGGGCGGCAAGGTCGTCCTTCGGGGTCCACTGCGAGGGAGAGCAGAGCCGGCTGCAGGCAGCTCCCTGCGGCGGCAGCGGGGGCTCCTGCCCGGGGCCCGGCGGGGGCTCGGCCCCACACATCCGCAGCCCCTTGGCTCACACCTGGCCAGCCCAGCGCCGAGGGCTTTATCTCACCTGCAGGTTCACAATATACAGCTTGGGCCGGCGTGTGGGGGGCTTGCTCATGCACCAGAGACGTGGGTATTTTTTCAAAACCTGCCACAAAGCACAGAGAATCAGCACAGCCACAGGCACACGCAGCCGTGAACCGTATCAGCGAGAGGAAAAGGAATGTATTACCAGGAGGGGAAAGAGGGAGGAAGAGAGACTATCACAGATGTTGGGCGAATCCTGACACCAGAGTTTACAGTTGTCTGTTTGGGAGGAGACTGCTCAGCACCAAGGTGTATCACCAAGAGGGAATGCTGCTAACAATCTTCACCGAGTCTCTAAAGTTACCTTTAAGCTGGAACCCAGACAAAGAATCACATCTGCTTTGCTTGCAGCTTCTGTTGCTGCTTCCCAGTTCAGGGGCTGTCTCAATGTCCCCTTCTCCCCAAAGTGGACGATTGTATCTCTCAACTGTGACCCACACTTGTGGCACATCCTGCCCGTGTGGTGCCTGTGCAGGGCTGTGCGTTCCGTCACGTCAAACACTCGCACATACTCTCTGTTGGGTGTGCAGGAAGTGCAGACCTGGTGCAGGATGAAAGCAGAAACCCCATCACATCATCAGCATCCCACCCACCAGAGGCCAGGAGCAAGCATCTTGGAAAAAAAGCATTTTTGGGGACAAGACAGAAGTTGTAGACAGAACCTCAGTGATCAGATGCTAACTTGGAAAACCTCAAGGTTTTTGAAAACCAGCCACAGGAGCCACAGGCAGCCTTTGGCTACATGCTGGGAGGGATTTCAGAGAAGGGCTGAGGAAGAGACAAAAGGTTCCTGTATGTACAGAGGAAGAGCTACAGAGCTGGGTTTGGTACTTCCTAAGTAGTTCACCCCAAACCTGACAGGCTGAAGGCAGGAACCACAGACAGGCCAAGCCCTTGTACTAATTCCTTCTGAGCTAGTGGCAGATCAAGAGTTTACATTCTCTTTTTGTGAGGCCACTTAACATTGACTTTTTCCTGCTCTGGCCACTCACCTCTATGTACATGTTCCCGTGAAGCTCAGATATTGCAGCTCGGGGTAACCCGCTCCGCAGGTGCAGCCCATCACAGTTCTGAGACACCACATGCTGCACCTAGAAGGGAATAAAACACTGAAGTCCTACAAATCTCACAGGTATCCCTCCAAGTAGGTGATGTGCATGTCCCAAATCGCACCAACTGCCTGTACATCAGAGCAGGAGCCACAGGGGAAGAGCAGGGTGAACAGACCCTTTTGAAAGCTAAATGGAAATCCTCCTCCTGCTAAACAGAACATTTCTAGGCCTGGTTGATTTGTGACCAGTTCCACAGCCTCACCAGGTACAAATACAACATATTGAAGAAAAGGCACTAGGGGAAAACCTGCCAGAGCTGGAGCCTGCAGCTGACTAAGGAAGGTTTGGACATGTTTTCCTACATGGATATGCAGCCACTCGAGCCAAAAATGTAGTCAGGCAGTATTCTCTGACTATTCCCTGCTGGGTTTATCATTTTTAGGCAGAGGAACATGAGTAAGGTGAGGTAAAAATATCTTACCAGGTTGTGCTTGTGCAGGCAGGCAATGCTCATATGAGTGAGTGTAGGCTCTGCCTCACTCAGGTCTGCAGCCCTGACAAGAAGCAAGGGAAAAAAAAAAAAAAAAGCTGAAATTGCCATTAACCTCTTCCAGTATCAGCTTTCTGTCACACAGTTGGGAATTTGGCTCCTCACTTGATGCTCCTGCCCTTCTGTAGCAGTGTCCAAATGCCATTGGGGCCTCTGTAGTCTGGGATCGAAGCTGCCTGTCAGCAGGAGAGAAAACCAGGCCTAATGGGGTGGAGTTGTCACAGCTTTTGTGCACAACCAACCCAGGCCCACCCAGGACAACCACAGACACCTCTATCTGTCGCTGCTGTTTCATTCATTCCAAGTTTTCCAGCATAGCTCTTCCCTAAACAGATGGAAACCTCCTCATATGTTTTCTCTCTCTCTTCTACGTTTCAGCTCTCATTTTCACTTCTAGTGTTAGCTTTCTTCAATTTTATGGTTATGGAATCCCTACAGAACTCTTTTGCATCCTTGGTACTTCCCATTTCGCTACACAGAACTCTATTCTTGAGCCTTTTATTATTTTCCCTAGACTCTGGTTCTGGCACATCACACTCAGCATCTCTAGAAAACATGCAGGTGACAGGAGCACTCAGCCCCCTGCCCTGAGTCATGCTCCAATTCAGCAGAGAATGGAATGACAGAGCTCATGCAAAGGTGGCAGATGACACATTAGAAGAGGTAGAACCAGACTGCTGCTTTGCCCCAGACTACCGCCACAAAACAATTCTCAAACTGCTGTTTATAAATTCCAATAATCCCCAGCTGTCTCTGCATGTCTGATAACACATAGAACATTCCTGAGCTAAGTGGCTTGAGGTTTTACACCAACTCATTGGAGAGACTCAAGTGAAGCAAGACCAGCGTCCCCTTGCTCAGGCTGTGCCATCCTGCAGCGGTGCGAGGCACTGCAGCTGCAGGATCCCCTGGAATGACCCCGGGACGCAGCCTGGCAACTGCCGGCCACGGGACTCGAGCAGCGTCCTGGGCTGGCCACACGTGTCCTGTACTCGTTCCGGAGCACGGTGCGGCTCCGAGGGCCTCGGCTGCTGCCCCAAACGCACCGTGCTGATCCCAGCGCCCGTGTAGATGACGAGGTGCCTGGCGCTCCGCAGCGCTGCTGCAAGCTCAGCCACCTTCCTCTTCAGCTCCTCTGGCTCATCGCACACCTGCAAAACAGCCCTCAGCAGGGTCACACGGATCACAGACACACTGCCCCACCGAGCCAGAAAGAGCAGGGATCTCCCCAAAAGTTTGAGGATGAGCTTGGGCCAACCAGGAAATGCAACACAAACACAACATCAACAGTGATTTCCAAATGAAAAGGATGTGGGCATTGTTCATGGGAGGATCACGAGAAAAAGCTTCCTGGAGGCCGGAAGCTGCTGGCCCACCCTCTCGAGAGACCTGTCCGCACGGCCACACGCGCCTGGAGCACGGCTGACCGGAGACAAACACCGGGCAAGTATCCCCGGAGGGCAGACGCGTTCCCGGTACTGGGACACGGAGGCTGTTCACGTGCTGCGGCTGCAGAGCTCGGCAGCAGCCAAGCCAGCAGACTCCGCCGCGCCTGTCCGCGGACGGGGCCGCTCCCCGCCATCACCGGCGCAGCTTCCCCGCTCCCGGCGCGACCTCGCCGCCCACCTCCTCCTGCCGTCGCCGCAGGCGCTCGCGCCGCTTGCGGCGCCGCTCCAGCTCCCTGACGATGTCCTCGCTCTCACTCAGCACCTGGCACTCCTCGGGGCTCCGCTCCGCCGGCAGCTTCCTCCAGATGCGGGATACCTGCCCGGTGCACACGCGTGGTCACGGCGGCCCGCAGCGGCGAGGTGGAGCGGGTCGGGCCGCGTCGTACCATACCTGTCTCCGGCGGTCCCGCTGCTCCTCCTGCTGCAGGATCTCGGCGCGCGCCGCCGCTTTCCGCTCGGAGCGGCTCAGGCTGCCGCCCGCCGCCATCGCCCCGGAACCGCCGCGCCTCCGCCGCCACCGGGCTCGGCTCCGCCGCTTCCGCCTTCCGGTCAGAGCGCCCGCGCGCCGCTTCCGGCACCGCCCCCCGCGCGGCAGCGCCCCCTGGTGCCGGGCGGCCCCCCAAGGACGCGCAGGCGGCGGCTGTTGAAGCGGTTTATTGTCGCGTACAAAGGCGGCGGACACTGTACAGAATAAATAACGGCAATAACTTATCAATAAATACCGCCTGCACCGAGCTCGGAGCCCTCTGGGTGACCCTTCTGTCCGCCAGCCCCGGCTCCGGCCGGGAGCGACTGTACACAATTCACAAGATACACAAATCCCGGGGTGCCATGGACGCTCCCCGGTCGGGCTGGCGCAGGACCCCTCCCCGATGCCCGGAACGGCACCAGGAAAAGGAGAAAGGGAACACGACACCCTTCACACCAAACGGACGAGCACCTCAGGAACAAGAATTGTCACACTCCAGAACACTATATACGAGAGAGAAGTCAGCGTGACGGCTCCGGCACGGGTCGCCGCGCACGGGCACAGGAAGCCAGCTGGCAGGACACAGGATCCCACGGAGCCCACGGGACACTCCTCGGACACTGCAGCAATACAGCACTCGGGGTCCTACACTGCACTGAGCACTAAACCAAACCCACAGGAAGTGGCACTCAGGGGACCGTGGCTCGCTGACACCCAGCCTGGCACCGCAGAGCTTGTTCAGCACAGTGGCACCCTTGGTCATGGCCTTGCACCTGCTCCTCCGTACACGACCTGTCCTCGTTGAACACACAGGCCGCCAGGCTCCGAGCAAGGAGGTCAGTGCAGGGCAGGAGGAAGGGTGGCTGGTG